ACATAATAAACACAATTTTTTTTTTTTTTGCAGTCCTGGGGCTTGAACCCCTGAGCTTCTTTTGCTCTATCACTCTATGGCTCTACCACTTGAGCCACAGTGCTACTAATGGCTTTGTCTGTGTATGTGGTACTGAGGAATGGAACCCAGGGCTTCATGCATGCTAGGCAAGCGCTCTACCACTGAGCCACAACTTTTTTTTTTTTTTTGGGGTCCAGTCGTGAGGCCTGAACTCTGGGCCTGGGCGCTGTCCCTCAGCTCTTCAGCTCAAGGCAAGCGCTCTACCACTTGAGCCACAGCGCCACTTCTGGCTTTCTTTTTGCTCATGTGGTGCTGAGGAATCGAACCCAGGGCCTCATGCATGCAAGGCAAGCGCTCTACCACTGAGCCACCTTCCCAGCCCCATGAGCCACAACTTCTACATAATAGTAAAGTGCTGGTGGCTCACGCCTGTCATCCTGGCTACTCAGGAGGCTGAGATCTGAGGATCAAGGTTTGAAGCCAGCCCGGGCAGGAAAGTTCGTGAGATTCTTCCTTTCAATGAACCACCCAAAAGCCAAAAGTGGAGCTGTGGCTCAAGTGGTAGAGCACCAGACCAGGGACAGTGTAAGCACTGAGTGCGGGCCCGGGGCCAGCGCGCACGCACGCAAAAACACACACACGCGTGCACACGCACGCACACACAAATACCTTAAAATAAGCACGGGATGTAAAGATCTATCGGCTAGACCCGACAGCACGGGGCAGCCGAGGGCGGCACAGGCACACGCCCCTCTCCTGCCTGCCCGATGGCCCGGCCGGTGCAGGCAGGGAAACTGAGGCCTCCCGGGCTGCACGCGCGCGCCCCGGGCCCTCCCGTCCCCCCACCCACACCCCCACCCCCACCCCACAGACGGAACCCGGCGTCCCCGGTCCGTCCGCCGCTCACCCGCGCCAGGCGCATCTCGGGACAACCCTCAAATATCGCGACAGCTCGGCCGCTTTTCTCCACACACACACACCCCCCCCCCCCGCCCGCCCAATCAGTGTAGAGGCTCTCGCGCCATGCGGTCGCGCAGCCTTCTGGGAGTTGTAGTCATTGGCGCGGAAACCTTGCCACCCAAAGCCCAGGTTTTCTCAAGGGCCTAAGCTCCTCTGACCTCCTTTCTCCTACCCTACCCCACCCCTATGGCCTCCTTTCTCCTACCCTACCCCACCCCTATGGCCTCCTTTCTCCCACCCTCAACTGATCAGAACTCAGGCACTGCATGCCAAGAATTCACCGCAGGATGGAGCTATGTCAGAGGTAGGCCTCCATGAGCAAGCCGGGGGCTTAGGCCGTCTGGGCAGGAAAACTCTTCTCATTGAAGATGAATCTTGTTTGTATCCATGCTGGGGCTTGAACTCGGGGCCTGGGTACTGTCCTTTTCACTCAAGGCTGGCACTCTACCTCTTGAGCTACACCTCCACTTTTGGCACTTTTTGGTGGCTCACTGAAGACAACAAGCCTCACAGACTTTGCTATCTGGACTGGCTTCAAACCTTGATCCTCAGAGCTCAAGTCTCCTGAGTCGCCAAGATGATGGGTATGAGCTACCAGCGACCCAGCAAGAAGTGCATGGTTACTAATGCCAGATGATGAGTGTCAGGTCACAGGCCCACCCGCTCTGCCCCACGGCCCCAGGGAGGCTCCACGAAGACACGTAACACGGGACAGGGTGAAATTTCCCCCTTTATTACAGTTCACTTAATTACCACAGACAGACACATTGGCTCAGGCAGGTCAACTGCCAGCTAGGGGATGGTTTGTGTCTCCCAGAAATAAGGAAGGGCAGTGGGCACCAAGAGAATGCAAAAGCAGGTCACTGACTGGCCACAGTCCCCAAGATTTCCCCCAAACAGACAGGGTCTTCTTGCCCAATCCCAAGCCAAACCATCCAGCAGAGATGAATCTGTGTCCAGCCCCTTCCCCTATCCCCCAACCACCCATCCTGCTTCCCAGGTAAATGCATAGGTGCCTGAACAAGCTGGGCCAGACACAGCCGTTACAGGTGAGGATCAAGGAGAAAAGGCAGGCTGGACAGGAAGTTGATTCAAGGTGGTCAAAAGTAAGTCACTGATGCTAGGCTGGCAGCTAGGTCACAGCCCTGTTGGAACTATCAGAGGGACTGAGGGAAAAGAAAGCAGAGGTCTGGGCTGGGGGAGAGGGGAGAGGTTGGATGCTCACGGTGGCCTAAAAACCCTGGTGTTAAGTTTCTAAGATTTTTGCCAGCCTGAAGTAGCCGACTCAGGTTTGGTTTAGCAGCCCACCTAAGCAGGTAGACTTCTGTTGGAAGGAGGGTAGAAAACAGGCAAACACACCCTCTCCAAGCCTCACCCAAAGATGGAGCCGCTACCAGTAAATTTTTATTTTGGGGGCCGTACTGGGACTTGCACTCAAGGCCTGGGTGCTGTCCTTAGCTTATTTGATCAAGGCTGGTGCTCTACCACATGAGACACAGGTCCACTTCCAGCTTTTTTTTTTCCAGTTCTAGTTTTGTTTATTTATTTTTTGCTGGTTAATTGGAGATGAAAAGTCTCATGGGCTTTCCCCCTGGGGCTGGCTCTGAACCATGATCCTTAGATCTCAGCCTCCTGAGTAGTTAGGATGACAGGCATGAGTCACTGGGTGCCCGGCCCTACCAGTCAGTAAGTTTAACTCCCTGCTTAGAACAGAATAGCTCCCTGCCAGACCTGAGATGGTTTTCTTGAGCAGGGAGCTGTCGGCTTCCTGAACCAACAGGGTAAGAATGAAGTCCTAGAGTCAAATAGGAGCAAGTTATCTGAAGCGGATCAACAACAGCAACCACAAAAGCACTGAAAACTAAAAGCAGAGTCCTTCTCTTCCTGTCTAACCAGAAATTCCTTTCAAGCCTTTGTGCTCCAAGCTCAGAGTAGGCCTGGGTGCTTCTCTCCAGAAATGTTCTAATGTAGCCAAGGGCAAGAGGGCTAAGGAGGTGAAGCTCCCTCCGGGCACCCCCTCCCCCTCCGAACTATGCCATTTGCCTTCTCCAATCACTTCTGCAGGCCTGGTCCTCTGAGTCTCTTCCCTTCTGCCAGACTCATACAGAATACCTGCTGCAGGAGTCCAGTGTCACTCAGAGATGCCCAGAAGCCCCAGTGGGCTGGGGCTGACCAAACCACCAGAGATGAGTATTTCCATGCCCTTGGCAACTGCCTAGCACTGCCCAGCTTGCCAGGGAAGTCAGTGGGGTGGAAATAGCAGGATGAAGCCATAGCTAGGTCATAGAAAGAGCTAGAGGGGTCCAAGCAGGTTTGGGGAGAAGAGGAAGGGGAAAGGAAAAGAGAAACTTGTCTTGCTGGGTGCTGGGTGGCTCACACCTGTCATCCTAGCTAATCGGGAGGCTGAGATCTGAGGATCGTGGTTGAAAGCCAGCCCATGCAGGGAAAAGTCCCGTGAGACTCTTAGCTCCAATTAACCATAAAAAAAGCCAGAAATGGAGTGGTGGCTTAGAATGGTAGAATGCTAGTCTGGAGCATAAAAGCTCAGGGGCAGTGTCTAGGCCCTAAGTTCAAGCCCCAGGATCAGCACACTTGTGCACACACATACACACACGTACACACACACACACACAGAAAAGAAAAACAAATCTCTGTAGGCCAAATTCTCAGAGCCAAGAAGACCAGCCCTGCCTTCCCAATCTCGGGGAGTTTGGGGTGGGGGGGGGGGGGGCTCTGCCTCTCCCACAGTGCATCCTTCCCACAGGGAGGCTGGCTCGGGTCTCTTCACTGGCTTCCTTGAATTGAGGATCAGATCAGATTTGGGAAGCAGAGATAAGCAGGACCCTCACGCTTCGGGGAAGACCAAGGAAAACCACATGGGGGGGGGGGGGGGGGGGGAGAAAGAGATCCTGGCCCAGGGAAGAGAGCTCAGGGCATCTGACAGCAGGGAGGAGACCTGGGTGACACAAGTCCCCTCCCATGGGCCCAAGGGCAGAAACAGCTTCAGTAACCTTGCAGAGAGCACCAGGCCCTCTGCTGTGCCTCCCCCTGCCCTGTACGAGTTAGAGGGGGCAGCCTGATTGGGGCGGGGTGCGGGGGGGGGGGGGGAGCAAGGGGGGAAGGGCGGGGGGACAGGGAGGCTGGTTGAGTTCTAAACATACATTTAGCACCAGGACGAGAGACCTCCACTGCACACAGCTTCACAAGGGGACACAGACACAGCGCACAGACAATGCCATGTGCGGCCCACAAGCCCTCAGGGGTGCTACGGGGTGAGACCAAAAGGTGGGGGGGGGGGCTAAACATGTACATATGCACACACAGATAGATAGATCAAGAGAGCTCTCGTTCTTTGTACAAAGTGGAAGAGAAGGAGAAAAAGGGGAAAGGGGGAACCCTGCATGGTGGCCACGATCGGCGATGTGGCTCGAGCCCCTCTGTCCCCACTGGCCACCCGCACCCCCCCACCCCCACCCTCCACACTGCCTCCCAGCGGGCGGGGCTGGTTTACATGTCGTTGGAGTATGTGTAATTAGGGGTGGCGGAATACTGAGTCTGTGGCTGGTTCATGGCGCCCTGAGCCGCCCCCATGGCAGCGTTCTGGGCGGCCTGCTGCACGTGTGGGTTCTTCCAGGCCCCCGTGGTCCACTCTTCCTGGGCTTTACTGAAACTCCCTCCGCTCCCCCGGTAGAATTTATGAACCTGTGGGAAGAGAAGCAAAAGGAAGCGTTAATCAAAGGGAAAAGGCAGAGTGGATACAGTGGTACCTGCCTGTAATGTCCGCAGGGCAGGGAAACTGTAAGCTCAGGGCCAGCCTAGACTCTATCTCAAAAAAATAAAAAGCACCAGGTGCAAGAAGCTCAGGCTTTTAATCCTATCTACTCAGGAGGCTGAGATCTGAGGGTCATGGTTCAAAGCCAACCTGGGCAGGAAAGTCCGGGAGACTTTTATCTCCAATCAAGCAGAAAAAAGCCAGAAGGAGAGTTGTGACTCAAGTGGTAGAGTGTTAGCCTTTGAGTGAAAAATCTAAGATCACCAGGCACTGGTGGCTCATATCTGTAATCCTAGCTACTCAGGAGGGTGAGAACTGAGGATTGCAGTTCAAAGTCAGTCCAGGCTGTGAGTTTAAGCCCCATATGTAATATGGCAGTGTCTTCCCCAAGGCCCCTCTGGTGCCTTCATAGGCCACGTACCATGCTGAGCGCAATGAAGGAGAACACTGCTACGACCGTGAACATGATGGTTGGGATAAGCATCACCACCGCAGAGCCCACGTTCGTCCCGAAGAAGGAGATGGTTGCAATCCAGCCGCTGTAGAAACAAGACATATGTGGAGCTGTGCACACTGGAGAGAGCGGGGTGCCAGGAGCCCCCCATGACACAGAGAGAGGAGCCCGATGAAGAGATGCAAAGGGACCATCCCCTGGCCAGGTATGGTGGCTCATGCCTGTAATCCCATCTGACATCTGAGGATCGAACTTCAAAGCCAGCCCGGGCCAACAAATCTGTAAGACTCTTAGCTCCAGCAAAAAGCTGGAAGTGTGGCTCAAAGTAGTAGAGCACCAGCCTCAAATTTGAACTCAGCCTCAAGGCCTGAGTTCAAATCCCAACATTGGCACAAAAATCTTAAAGACTTCGCCAGGCACCAGTGGCTCACGCCTGCCATCCTAGCTACTCGGGAGGCTGAGATCTGAGGATTGTGGCTGGAAGCCAGCCTGGTCAGGAAAGTCCATGAGACTTTTATGGCCAATGAGCCACCAGAAAACCGGAAGTGGTGTTGTGGCTCAAAGTAGTAGAATGTTAGCCTTGAGCAAAAGAGCTCAGGGATAGCGCCAAGGCCCTGAGTTCAAGCCCCAGGGCTGACAAAAAACAAAGAAGAAGAAGAAGATCTCTTCCTCAGGGCTCAGAAGTGGGAATACTTCCAGACACAAGGCCTTGCCCTTCATTTGCCTACCAAGCTTGACACCCTGGGCCTCCCAGAAAACATTGCCCAACAAAAACAGACCCGAAGACCAAAGGAACAGATTAGAAGATCCAGAAATAAAATCACAAACCTATCATCAGCTGATATTTGACAAAGGAGCCAGAGACATACAATGGAAGAAGCACAGCCTCTTCAACTATTGGTGCTGGAAAAACTGGGCAGCCACATGCAAAAAACTAAAGGTGGACTCCAGCCTGTCACCATGCACTAACATCAACTCAAAATGGATCAAAGACCTTACCATCAAACCTGATACTCTGAAACTACTGCAGGACAGATTAGGAGAGACATTTGAACTTATAGGCCTAGGTGAGAACTTCCTGAACAGAGTCCCAAGGTCACAACAAATTGGAGAGAGACTTGAGAAATGAGACTACCTTAAAAGAAAAAGTTTCTGCACAGCTAAAGACATAGCTACCAAACTAGAAAGACAGCCAACTAATTGGGAAAAAATCTTTACCAGCAAAATATCAGAAAAGAGCCTGATATCCATTATATATAGAGAACTCAAGAAACTAACCCCTCACAAATCTAACGAACCAATCATGAAATGGGCAAGGGAGCTAAAGAGAGACTTCTCAGAAGAGATAAAAATGGCAAAGAAACACATGAGGAAATGTTCATCATCCCTGGCTGTACAGGAAATGCAAATAAAAATAACCCTGATAGACCGCCTTACCCCATCAGAATGGCCCACATCCTAAATTCAGCCAGCAACAAATGCTGGAGGGGATGCAGAGAAAGAGGAACCCTACTGCGTTGCTGGTGGGAAGATATGGAAACAACCCAGATGCCCCCCTACAGCTGAATGGACCCAAAAGTTGTGGTACCTATATACAATGGGATATTATGCAGCCATTAGGAAGGACAAAATAATGGCATGTGCAGGGAAATGGATGGAACTAGGTAAATAATTTTGAATGCGGTAAGCCAAGAGCCAAGAGACAAATGGCACATGGTCTCCCTGATATGTGGATGCTAAGCCCAAAATGCAAGGAGCTATGACAAAATAAGCAGGACTCGAGAAACAAAGGACTTCCACTTATTTTGTGGTATCATTGCTAAATGACTCCAAGTTCTTGACCACACATATGGTATATATATATATGCACATCTGAGGGAAGCTAGGAGGAGGACACAGAATCAGAGGAAAACAGGGGAAACATGTAACAGAGGGGCCCATCAGCTGCACTGGACATTGACGAAAACGAACAAATCAACTCAAAGGCAGCGATGGGAGGGAGGGAAGGAGAGGGAAAGAGGGAACAGCTTATATTAAGCAAAAGGAAAGAAATATACATATCACCTGATGTGGAAGAAATAGTTGTATTGTCAAAGCTCACAGAATTCACAAACATTATAGACCATGATAATGACCGTTTGCCTTGTGAAGATTAAAATGTGGCTGGGCACTGGTGGCTCACACCTGTAATCCTAGCTACTCAGAAAGCTGAGATCTGAGGATCACGGTTCAAAGCCAGCCCGGGCAGAAAAGTCCGTGAGACTCTTATCTCCAAGTAACCACTAGAAAACCGGAAGTGGCGCTGTGGCTCAAGCAGTAGAGTGCTCGCCTTGAGCTGAAGAGTGCAGGGATAGCGCCCAACCTAGAGTTCAAGCCCCACGACTGACAAAAAAAAAAGTTAAAATGTATTGGTGACTTTAACTAAGTATCACTATCCCACAATTCTGTGAAATTTGTGAAATGTGTAATCACTTAATCTCAATAAAAAAAATTTAACAAAACAAAACACTGCCCAGAGCCCCCTTCCTCCACGGTGCTACAGGCAGATGCTACTATACTATACTGAACCCAATCTTCCCCACCAGCCAGCCTCTTGGTATCTGCACTGGGGATGCATGCAAAGGGTACACCCAAGGGCCACCCCTAGCACCCCCCAGCCCTGGTCCCCTCCCTGCCCTCTTACCAAACACCCCAGCCTGGGATGCCCACGGCCTGGATGATGCTTATGACCAGCTGAGCCATGAAAGTGAAGAAGAACGCCATGAAGCTGAAAGAGCTGTCGGTCCTGCAGTGGAGAAGATGCCTGTTACCCAGAAGTCACCCCTACAGGACCGAGCTTTTACTGCCCTCAAGAATCCCAAGCATAGCCGGGCACTGGTGGCTCACGCCTGTCATCCTAGTCACTCAGGAGGCTGAGATCTGAGGATTGCCATTCGAAGCCAGCCTGAAAAAAGTCTGTGAGACTCTCATCTCCAATAAACCACCAGAAAACCAGAAGTGGTGCTGTGGCTCAAGTGGTAGAGCACTCACCTTGAGCTGAAGAACTGAGGGACAGTGCCCAGGCCCAGAGTTCAAGCCCCACGACCGACAACAACAACAAAAAAAGAATCCCAAGCATGGGCTGGGAAGGTGGCTTAGTGGTAGAGTGTTTGCCTAGCATGCATGAAGCCCTGGGTTCCATTCCTCAGTACCTACAGAAAAAGCCGGAGGGTTGGGAAGGTGGCTCAGTGGTAGAGTGCTTGCCTCACATGCATGAGGTCCTGGGTTTGATTCCTCAGCACCACATAAACAGAAAAGGCCAGTAATGGCACTGTAGCTCAAGTGGTAGAACGTTAGCTTTGAGCTGAAGAGCTCAGGGACAGCGCCCAGGCCTAGTGTCCAAGCCCCATGACCGACAAAAAAGAAAAGAAAGGAAAAGAAAAAGCTGGAGGTGGCCCTGTTGCTCAAGTGGTAGACTGCTAGCCTTGGGACGGTGCCCAGGCCCTGAGTTCAAGCCCCAGAACTAGCAAAAAAAAAAAAAAAAGGGGGGGGGGGGAACAACAAGGTTTCTCTGTTGTACCCCCAAGAGAAAAGGGGGAGGAGCCCTTGGCCTAGCTACACCCCCTCTTTTCAGGATACCCAAACCCCACCTGGTAGTCTGAGCCAAAAGTAAACAAGGGACTAGGAGTGTGAAGATGAGAGAAAGAGGAAAGGAGATACAGAAGCCGGGCACCAGGGGCCATGCTTGTAATCCCAGCTACTCAGGAGGTTGAGATCTGAAGATCACAACTTGAAGCCAGCTCAGGCAGGAACATCCATGAGGCCCTTATCACCCATGAATCAGCAAAAAGCCAGAAGTGGAGCTGTTGATCAAGTGGTAGAGCACCAGCCTTGAACAAAACAGCTCATGACCTCACCCAGGCTGAGTTCAAGCCCCAGCACCAGCATTGAGAGACAGAGACAGAGAGAGAGACAGAGAGGGGGAGAGGGAGGGAGAGAGGAGAAAGGAAAGGGCTAGGAGCTGGGCTCCAGGCCGTCACTTACTTGAAGGCCTTGTAAATGGGCCGAAACCAGCAGACGTAGGAGCAAGGCGTGAAGAGAATGAGCCAGAGAAAGGCGAGGCCAAAGTTGGTGGCTCCTCCTCCTCCAATCAGCCACGCCAGACAGCCCACCAGGTTCACGGCCAGCGTGACGCTGTTCACTGCAGGCCCAGGAGCACATGTACACAGAGAGACACACACACACACACACACACAGAGGCAGCGATGCACCAGCACACACACATCACGATCCACATACAATCCAACCACACGCACAAGCAGAGATGCACACGCACGGATACAAATGCAAGCCACATTTACATGCACAGACACACAAACACACACAGAGGGAGTACATACTGTAAGAATGCAACCTGGCAGCTCATACCAACTCCCCGCCCGCTCCTGGGGATCTGAGAAAGCTGGAGGACAAAAGAGTCTCTGCAGCGGGAACCCAGCAAGCTCCTCTCTAGGGTCCCAAACAGCCAGGCACCTGGTGGCTCACGCCTGTCATCCCAGCTGCCCAGGAGGCTGAGATCTGAGGATGGGGTACAAAGCCAACCTGGGCAGGAAAGTCTGTAAGACTCTAATCTGCCATGAACCAAGAAAAAAGAAGCTGGAAGTGGAGGTGTGGCTTAAGTGGTAGAGCACTAGCCTTGAGCAAAAAGCCTGAAACAAAACAAAAACAAGCATGCAAAGAGCACAAGGCCCAGAGTTCAAGTCCTAGTACTGGCACAAGAAACAAAAAAAAGGAGGGGGTGGCTGGGAAGGTGGCTCAGTGGTAGATGCTTGCCTTGCATGCATGAGGCCCTAGGTTCAATTCCTTAGCACCACATAAGCAGAAAAGGCTGGAAGTGGCGCTGTGGCTCAGGTAGTAGAGCACTACTAACCTTGAGCTGAAGGGCTGAGGGACAGCGCCCAGGTCCAGAGTTCAGGCCCCATGACCGACCAAAAAAAGGTCCAAAGCCTCCAAGTAGAGAAATATTCTTCTTGGCAGGGCATCGGTAACTCACACCTATAATCTTAGCTACTCAGGAGGCTGAGATCTAAGGATAGTGGTTCAAAGCCAGCCGGGGCAGGAAAGTCCATGAGTCTTTTTTTTTTTTTTTTTTTTGGGTCCGGTCGCGAGGCCTGAACTCTGGGCCTGGGCGCTGTCCCTCAGCTCTTCAGCTCAAGGCTAGCGCTCTACCACTTGAGCCATAGCGCCACTTCCAGCTTTTTTCTTTTTGCTTATGTGGTGCTGAGGAATCGAACCCAGGGCCTCAGGCATGCAAGGCAAGCGCTCTAACCACTGAGCCACCTTCCCAGCCCTCCATGAGAGTCTTATCTCCAATAAACCACCAGAAAACTAGAAGTGGTGCTGTGGCTCAGCTGGTAGAGCACCAGGCATGAGCATAAAATGTCAGGGATAAGCACCCAGGCCCTGAGACCCGCTGACTAATCAAAGGCAGTCAACCTCCACCTTGAGCTGTGTGGTCCAGGCATCTGCGGTCCTCTCTCCAGGCTTAGACCTGTTTCCTAGAGACCAAAGCACTTGGCTGGCGCCTAGTAAGGGCTTAGGTAAATATTTATAGACTTTAAATCCAGCTTCTAGATGCGATCTCCCTGGGGACTGAGGTCAGAGAGCTCTGGCACCTGTACACCTGTACAGACATATCATGGACACTCCTTCCTGTGTGTTTCAGTGGTATTTTTCTATCCCTGTTCAATTCCCTCCAAAGGGGCTGGGAAGGTGGCTCAGTGGTAGAGTGCTTGCCTTGCATGCATGAGGCCCTGGGTTCGATCCCTCAGCACCACTTAAACAGAAAAAACCGGAAGTGACACTGTGGCTGAAGTGGTAGAGCTCTAGCCATGAGCTGAAGAGCTGAAGGACAGCGCCCAGACCCAGAGTTCAGTCCCCATGACCGACAAAAAAAAACAAAACAATTCCCTCCAAAGTTTCTTGGAGCCCTGGTATTCTTGTTGATTTTACTTGCTCTTTACATAGAAGAGACACTAACTCATTACCATATTTCTGAACATCTCTCCTCCCAGCCCTACCCTCCGCCAGTTCACTTGCTCTGACAGCCATCCTCTGCTTCACTGGGAAGGGCGGCCATTGACTTGGCCATCTTCCTTGTCCAGTCTAGATTCACAATTTTCGTTACACGCATCTTCTTATTCCCTCTGCTGCTCTGTGTTCTGGTTACAACCTCCAATGAGTGCAATGCCCATCCATACCTAAACCAAATGTCCCTACGCAAAAACAGACCGGAAGGAAGTCCAGCAGAACTATCAACTCTTGACCACAACCTCAAAAACACCCTGGTCAAGGCCTACAAACTCCCTTCATGAAGGGGCGCTGTGGCTCATGCCTGTAATCCCAGCTACTCAGGAGGCTGAAATCGAAGGATCCTGGTTCAAAGCATGCACGGGTAAGGAAAGTCAGTGAGATTCTTATCTCCAAAGAGCCAGCAAAAAAATGTTGGAAGTGGAGCTGTGGCTCAACTGGTAGAGCGCCAGCCTTGAGTGGGATAAAAAAGCCAAGCAAAAAGTGTAAGGCTCTGACTTCAAGCCTCTGTACTGGCACCCCCCCCCAAAAAAAAAAAATGAAATCTCTGAGAGATGGAAGAAACTACTGGAAGGGAGGAAGCTTGATGGGGTTACTGAGGCTGAGGCCCAGCAGAGAAGCTGACCTATGAGAGGAGCCTGCTGGGATCGACTTAGAGGAAAGACATCTCAGTTTATTCAGATGCAACACTAGGCTGGGCCCACAGGCCCTGCGCCCCCTTGCCCCCTCCCCGGCCCCGCCCTTCCCCCTCCCCGGCCCCGCCCCTCCCCGGCCCCGCCCCCAGCACTCACGCATCCAGAGGTAGTACAGGCGTTTGGTCATGTTGAGATGCTGAGGTGGAATGTCTGCCTCGAAGTCTTGGTAGAAACATGGCTTCAGCGGAATGAACTTGGGCAATGGTGGGAAGTTGTTTGCTTTCTCTGGGAAGCAAAGCAATGAACACTGCATCATCTAGAATGTTCCTCTTCCCCGTGGCCCAATACACCCCTCCCCTCTCTGGCTGATCCTCACCAGTCCATCCCTCCCTCTCTTCCTCCTCCCCTAGGTCCTCCAAAATAATAATCTCCAAGTAACAAGAAATCCTGAAGTGGTATCCCTCAATAGAACAAAAAGCCAGGCACAGTGGCTCACACCTGTAATCTTGGCTACTTAAGAGGTTGTGATCAGGAGGTTCATGGTTCGAAGACAGCCCCGGCAAAAAGTTCATGAGATTCCACCACCTCACCTCCCTTCATTTCAACTGACAAAAAGCCAGCACTGAGGCATGCACCTGTCATCCTAGCTACACAGGAAACATAAATAGGAGCATCACTGTCATAAATATAAGACTGTATGAAAAAAAAAAAATAGCCAGGCACTGTTGGCTCATGCCTGGAATCCTAGTTAATCAGGAGGCTGAAATCTGAGGATTGATTGGGGTTCAAAGCCAGCCAGGGCAGGAAAGTCTGTGAGACTCTCATCTCCAGTCAACCACCAGAAAACTGGAAGTGGAACTGTGGCTCAAAGTGGTAGGCATTAGCATTGAGCAAACAAATTCAGGCTCTGAGTTCAAGCCCCATGACCAATAACAACAAAAACAGAAAGCACAAAGAACTGGAGTGTGGCTCAAGTGGTAGAACACCTAGCCTGCCCCTTTCCTTACCTGCCATGATGATTCCAGCGGCCTACAGGCTGCCCAGGCCTCTTTGTCTTAAACTGGGAAGGAAGAAAAGCCGATTAAGATGAGCATCAGAGGTCAGCACTGGTGGCTCTCACCTATAATCCTAGCTGCTCAGGAGGCTGAGATAGGAGGATCATGGTTCCACCAGCCTGGGCAAAGTCTCTGAAACTCTTATCTACAATAAATTTCTTAGAAAAAGCCAGAAGTAGCGCTGTGGCTCAAGTGATAGAGTGCTAACCTTGAGCAAAAGAAGGTCAGGGACAGTGTCCAGGCCCTGAGCTCAAGCCCCAGGAGAAAGGAAGGAAGGGGCTGAGAAGGTAGCTCAGTGGTAGAGCGCTTGTCTTGCATGCATGAGGCCCTGGGTTCGATTCCTCAGTACCACATAAACAGAAAAAGCCGGAAGTGGCGCTGTGGCTCAAGTGGTAGAGCCTTGAGCTGAAGAGCTAAGGGACAGCGCCCAGGCCCTGAGTTCAAGCTACATGACTGACAAAAAATAAAAAAGGAAAAGAAAGGAAGACAACTTAGGGACAGTGCCCAGACAGTGCCCAGGCCCTGAGTTCAAGTCCCAGTACTGCTGTGTACACATACACACACACATATACAGACAAGTTGAGTACCCACTATTTAAAATGCTTGGGAGTAGAAATGGTTACAGGCTTCAGATTCTTTTTTTCCGGTTTTGGAATTCTTAAATACATTACCTCCTCAGCTGTCTTGCGGGTAGAACCCAAGTGAAACATAAAATTCATCTGGCTCACATCTTACACCCAGAGCCCGAGGAAAATTTTACCCATTTCTAGTGTTACCTACACTCTGACTAGGGCTCATCCCACAAGATCAGGGGTGGCATTTTCTACATGCGCTGGCCCGGCAGTGCTCAGTTTGGGATTTTAAAAAATGCAGTTTTTTTTTTTTTAAAAGATCACAGCTTGGGCAAAAAGTTAGTGAGATCCGATCTTAACCAACAAGCTATGTGTGGTGAGATGAACCTGGAATCCCAGCTACCTGGGAGGAAGATAACAATCTGAGTCCAGCCTAGGCAGAAATCAGGAGACTTTATCCAAAAGACACAAAATGTGTGTGTGTGTGTGTGTGTACAAGAACTGAATGGATGTGGAATAAGGGAGAAAAACAAAAACAACTTTTTTTTTTTTTTTTTGGTCGGTCATGGGGCTTGAACTCTGAGCCTGGGCGCTGTCCCTCAGCTCTTCAGCTCAAGGAGAGCGCTCTACCACTTGAGCTACAGCGCCACTTCTGGTTTTGTGGTGGTTTATTGGAGATAGGAGTCTCACGGTCTCTCCTGCCCGGGCTGGCTTTGAACCACGATTCTCAGATCTCAGCCTCCTGAGTAGCTAGGATTACAGGCGTGAGCCACCAGTGCCCAGCTGAAAAACAACTTTTAATGTACTTTATAGCATATTTATTCAATCTAAGATACCACTGATTTTATTCTATGAATTAAAAGAAAAAAAATCACTGCCAACTTGTTTCCAGAAATATTAAGATAGACATTAAAGTGTTTCCGTGTGTGTGTGTGTGTGTGTGTGTGTACCTGTGTGTGTGTGTGTGTGTGTGTGTGTGTGTGTGCGCGCGCGCACGCGCACGCGCACCAGTACTGAGGCTTGAACTCAGGGCCTGGCCTTTGTCTCTCACATTGTTTTCTCAAGGTTGATGCTCTACCACTTGAGCCATACCTCCACGTGCAGCTTTTTGCAGGTTCACTGGAGCCCAGAGTCTTACAGATTTTCCTACTTGGACTGGCTTTGAAACAGGATCCTCAGATCTCAGCCTCCTGAGTAGCCAGGATTATAGGTGTGAGCCACTGGTGTTCAGTTATGGCCTGGAACTTTTGATACTCTTCCTTCATCTCCCAAGGGCTGGGATTATAGCATGCATCACCATGCCCACTCATGATCTGCTTTTTTTCCACTCCACACATCTTTTTTTTTTTTTGCAGGGAAGGGGGGTGGGAGGGGTGGCACTGGGTTTGAATTCAGGGCTTGCTAGGCAGGACCTCAGCCATTTGAGTCACACCTCTAACCCTCCACTCCAGATCTTATGGAAATTTTCCTGTCAATGAATACAGATCTCTCTCAATCTTTTCAATGACTGCTCAGCTAGGTCAACAATGGTAGAGGCCAGGGAGAGGGCAGGTGTGGCTAGAGCTGTGGTCAGAACAGAATGACTTCAGAGAAGTGGTAGACAAGGAGAAATAAGACACAGGTCCTACCTAGCTTTCTAACTTCGCTAAAACTTGAACCCTCACACACCATCAGAAATGACACTGAAACAACCGGCACCAAAACATGACAGTGGATGGAAAAATGAATTAATCTTAGCTACTCAGGAGGCTAAGATCTGAGGATCATGGTTCAAAGCCAGCCCGGGCAAAGAAAGTCCATGAAACATCTCAAACTACCAGAAAACCAGAAGTGGCACTGTGGCTCAAGTGGTAGAGCACTAGCCTTGAGCTGAAGAGCTGAGGGACAGCGCTTAGACCCAGAGTTCAAGCCCCACAACTGACAAAAAAAAAATACAAAAACTACAAACACTGGCCTTAGGACTACCCAGGCTGCAGACCCCGCTGAATTATCTCCCTGCCCTGAGCCTCCAACTCAAACACACTCCAAGGCTGTAAGGGATAGCCTGGCAACTGTGGTTTGACAAGTCTGCTAAAAACAGATGCTGTAGGAAAACCCTTCCCTGGCAATCAACGTAAGAATCCATCTCTGAAGGCTCACGCCTGTCATCCTAGCTACTCAGGAGGCTGAGATCTAAGGATCACAGTTCAAAGCCAGCCTGGGCAGAAAAATCTATGAGACCCTTATCTTCAATGAACCACCAAAAACTGGAAGTGGAGATGTGGCTCAAGTGGCAGAGTACTAGCCTTGAGCAAAAACAGCTCAAGGACAGTGCCCAGGCTCTGAGTTTAAGCCCTCGAACTGGGGGGGGGGGGGGGGGGAATAGTATCCAAGTCTTTTGCTACTATCTTGATCAATGATACAAGCAGTGAGGTGTTGGAAGAGTTCTACAGAGTGACCAAGGAACACAACCAGAACTAGAAGGAGGCAGAAAGCTGGCACTGATGGAGAAATTTAAGAAGAAAGTTTCATCAGCTTGCCGTGACCATGCATGGTCAGTTTCCACCAGGTAGACGACACCTTTGACCGCAAGGTGTAGTCCCAGCTCTTGGATGAATGCCAGGAGCTGCTACACCACATCGTTCAACCACCTCAACCGCCAAGTCACATGGATGAGCTAATCACGTTTTTGATCATTTTTCAGTGATTTTTTTTCCTGGCTGCCTTTGGAAAACTTAAACCTCACTTACAAAAACTTTGTATGATCCTACCTACTTAAGAGGCTGAGATCTGAGGATCACAGTTCAAAGCCAGCCCGGGCAGGAAAGTCTGTGAGACTCTTATCTCCAATAAACCACTTCCGGTGGTAGTGCTGTGGCTCAAACGGTACAGCGCTCGCCTTGAGCTGAATAGCTGAGGGACAGCACCCAAGCCCAGAGTTCAAGTCCCACGACCAACAACAACAAAAAAAAGACCTGACTGTGATTTATTTGAGAACAAAGCACTGATGGTTCATGAAGGAAAAATTTTTAAGATTACATGTTTCAGAAAGACTTGGCCCAATTCAACTGTCAGACATTAAGGATAATACTTTTCTAGCATTTGTTTTATTGGGAGCAAAGCATATTCCCAAAAAACTACGGTCAGAATTCCCCTAGCAGTAGCAGGTACTGAAAGAAATGTGTGGTTGATAAGACTGAACCCTAAGACTTGCTTAGGGCAATTCTTGTCTTGGTGGTATAGTGGATGTTTCTAATATGTACAGAGTTGTATACTTTGACTTACTTGTGTTCTGTACTGTATATATGTATCTCCTTTAGAAAGTCAAGGACTGGGCTGAGGATGTGGCTTAGTGGTAGAGAGCTTGCCTAGCATGCATGAAGTCCTAAGTTCGACTCCTCAGTACCACATACACAGAAAAAGCTGTAAGTGGCACTATGGGTCAAGTGGTAGAGTGCTATCCTCGAGTAAAAAGAGCTCAGGTAGAGTGCCCAGGGCCTGAGTTCAGCCTCAGGACTGGCAAGAAAGAAAGAAAAAGAGAGAGAGAGAAAGAGAGAAAGAGAAAGAGAAACAGAAAGGAAGGAAGGAAGGAAGGTAGGTAGGTCAAGGACTTCCTCTCCTGCTGCAAATCTATTTTCAAATCTACCCTTCATTTTTGATCAATGTTATCATTATGGCATTGCCATTGAAGAATTCAACAGGGGGCTGGGTAGAGTGGTAGAGTGCTTGCCTCGCATGAATGAGGCCCTGGGTTCGATTCCTCAGCACCACATAAACAGAAAAGGCCGGAAGTGGTGCTGTGGCTCAAGAGGTAGAGCACAAGCCTTCAGCTGACAAGCTGAGGGACAGCGCTCAGGCCCAGAGTTCCAGATCCATGACTGACAAAAAAAAAAAGAAGAAGAATTCAACAGGAAGCAGTCTCATGGGACTATGGGAAAAACAGAACACTGCACATCTGAAATCAGCACTGTTACAATGACCTA